CCTGCTGAGGGTGTTGATGAGACCTAGGCGGGGTTGAACCTGCAGTCAAGCCTGAATAAGAATACATTTTGTAAGTGAAATTCAACGGAATCATGAGGCCTACTTATCTCATCGTGGGAAAAGTTAGGGTCATTTCTTCATCAAATTAAGCTACGGCAACTCGTATTCAGTATTTACTGATAGTCTCGACAGCCTACGCCTTCTGAATACAAATGAACAGTTGGACGATTATTTTGTTGTCTGGATTTACTAATTCACCTACTAAATGGAGAAGAGGTAACGACTGAATTCTCATTGGAGTTTCAAACGGATGGTAGACTACTGTTTTTGCATTTTCTAGTTGGTAAGTAGGCAAGCACACTTGGTAGAATGCAATTATCAAAGCCACAATTGCGGGTTATCTTAACATTTTTTCATTCTCGCATTAATTGTGTAAGAATTTCCGTTATGAAATGGAAGCCTGTGTCCAGCATACTCTGCGCACCGAGATCATGAAGGATACATTTAAGAAAAATGTTAATTCACAAAATTCACCCAGTTTGATCAATTGTAAATTATTTCATAATATTAGAAAATAGGATAAGTGGAGACTGCTATCTAGGGTAACGTAGGAGGCTGAACTATCCTTCTAGTCCTATGAGGAAAAGGATGGTTTCCTAAAATTCTTTTGTATGCTAGCGTGACTCGACTCTCCATTTCAAAGAAAAAGTTGGCTGGAATGAATTCGTTAATAAAGCGAGACCAAACCGAAAGGCGATTACAGTCAAAATAGAGTTTACATCATCTTGATCTTCATACTCTCATTCAAAGTCTAATGTAGTAATGTATAAAACAACTGTTGCTTCACATACAAATAATCTTTATGCATCATATTCCCTCAAACGTCTCACGACAGACGAAGTCTTATTTTGCTATTGAGTGGGTTTCCAAGATTACCAGTAAATCAGATTTATGAGTTGTATTCTCCATATTTCGTTTAAGGTGATGATGGACTGGTAGTTGACTTTTCCCAAAGTGGTATGAATAGAGTTGACGTTCCCATTGAATTTTACATATCCTTACTTTCCCAAAAAAGTATTCTCATCCAGGCTGGACTGCAGTTTCGAACTCGCATAGGTCTTATCAGAAGACAAAGTAGGATTCGAACCATGACAGGGCAGCGTGTACTCTCGACTACATTACTTTTTTATAAGTATGTTTCTGGGACTACCAGTAGATCATATATATGATATGGCAAATACACCTCTGCTTCATCGAAAATCCCACTATAGAATGTGATTTAACAATATGCCCTGCCTTCCTTGAAATTCACATCTACCCTGTGATCCAAGGGCACTCGTGGAAATGTGGCGTAGTGTTTAACTTGTCGAGATTATACGCTGCGTTGTCATGGTTCGAGCTCCGTTGAGGATGTAGATGAGACCTAGCCAATGTTGAAGCTGCAGTCCAGTACAGACTGGATGAGAGGACTTTTTGACAAAGCAAGGCTATGTGAAATTTAATGGGAACGTAAGACGTTGGGAAAATTCAATTCCAGTTCCCTTATCACCTTACACGAATACATATAGAATGTATTTAATATATAGGTCGCACGATTCGGTTAAATTCAACTTGACCTTGCCTCCCAAGAGGATATCTTATCCAGGACGGACTGTAGATTCTACCTCTTCTCGGTCATCTCATCCTCCCCAGCAGGATTCGATACTTGCTCGTGAGTGTCCTGATCACAGGGCACATGCGATATCCAAGGGAGACCAGACCTCTCCTAATTCCCATGTTTAAAAAAGATTGCCTTTTAAACGAAAATATGTTTGCTATTTCAATCGACAACGTTATTTAATAAGAACATAAGTAATACGAGTTGTAGAAATTGCAGTTCACTCCTGCATGGAGTAGAATACCTTTTGGAATGCAAATTTATGTGAAATTATATTGAAACATGAGGCCCATAGCTATGATTGTGGGAAAATTCTACTACCATTCCTTCATCACCTTAAACGAAATAGGGTGAATAGTGCTTCTATATCAGATCTGCTGGTGGTCTAGAAAACCTACTTATTAAGCGAAATCAGTTAGTCGTCGATTGCTATGGCCAACACATGTTTGCTTAATTTGCAATCTAACTATAACTATGTGAGATGGCTTGTGTAGATTTGTCTCTTAGCTCCTCCTGCAAGTGGCTTGAGTCCCGCTGAGGGTGTTTTTGAGAAGATGATTCAAGTTTAAAACCTTAATCCAGTCGGAATGAGGACGATCATTTGCTATATCATAACGTAATGCAGCCAAGAGCGACGAAAAATTGTGAGATTACTTTGAAACGTTTGAGAATGTACCAAGTCAATGGTTGGATGCTGGAAGTCACGAATACTATGGCAGAGGAGACAAGACTAGGTACGTTCCACAAGGTATCCCTGACGCTCCGAACAAGTTGTGAAAATGAGGTCGAACCAACACGATAAAGATAAATGAGACTGCGACCAAACAGAAGACCACACCATCTCGGTCTTCATATCTTATCGGTTTGACTTCATTTTCGTAACTTGGTCTGGGCAATGAGGAGACTTTGTGGAATGTCCCAAGTCCTGAGCCCTCTACCATATTAGAATGAGACCAAAGAAAAGTTTGTGGCTTCTAGTATGGTCGCAGTCTTCTTTCGATTTATATAAGTGGGTAGACCTCATTGTCGCAATTTGATCTTGTTGTCAGGTCGACTATGTAGAAGGCACCTAGTCCGAATTAGTTGTCATGATTCCCAGCATCAGACAGTGGAATTGGTACATTCTCAGACGTTTCGCCAGCATCGTAGTCAGCATCACCAGTCTCCGCAA